AAATAACCACAACATTCTACATGTGGACACATACAGGCACATGTGTATAATACGCACACAGATTATGAAAAAAAAAAAATTTGCACCAATTACCTCATATACAGACTAGACCTATTTCAACCGCCAAAAATTTTGTCAGTCTTATTCAACCCCGGTATATAGACTGAGTTTGTGCCGGAATTAAAAATTTAACTGTGACAGTTGTCAAAAAAATTGATACAAAATTTGTCCATTTCAAATGAAAGGCATGAGACAGTAGTCAGGGGAGGGTAGAAGGTATTAGTCTTAAAGGGAAGAGGTTTTATAAATTTAAACACAGTTATTAACCTTATGACATTAAATTGGGGTTATATGAAGAATGAAGTGTTCATTTGAAACGAAGAGATGAACGAAAGGAGGGTTTTTTTTTTAAAAATTATATAAACATGGTTAATATAATACCCTCCCCTGACCACTATCGCGTGCCTTTCATCTGACTAAAACATTGAAATGGACATATTATGTATCAATTTGTCAACAGCTGTCAGTTAAATTTCTAATTCTGACATGAACTTGGTCGTTGAATAAGACTGATCTATTCCTCATATGATGTAATTTTGGATTTTATGGTTTACTTTAATATATATTATAAATTAACTGATTTAAAATATGGTCCTTTTTGCTACACAGTTCTAACCATGTTTCAAAAATGGAAGCTAAAAGCTTTGAATTTTAATTAAATTAAAATTCAAAGCTTTTAGCTTCCATTTTTGAAACATGGTTAGAACTGTGTAGCAAAAAAAAACAAAAAAAAACATTTTAAATCAGTTAATTTATAATATTAATGCTCTGTAAATTTACATTGAGCACTATTTTGTAAAAATAAAAATATCTATAAGAACACCGGATTATATATCTTACTGTTCTTTCTTTTTATATATATAATTTTCATTCAGACCCAAAATCATTATGAACATTGTGAAAATTAAAACAAAAAGGAATATTTTTTGATTATGCTATTCAAGGAAAGAAAAAAATGGTCAAGTTTTTGTGATTTGCATGCAATGAGAAAGTATAAATTATGAAATCTGTTCATTAATATTAAAAACATTAAGTATTTTCAGATATGAGGGAGAAATTATCATTTAAAAAATAAGTTTATGAAATCTAACAAAAGCATAATTTAAGCAGCAATCTAAAAGTCTAGCACTGAGCAATAGTATTAAATAATATCAACAATAATCTCATAAGATGAAGCAAAAAGTAGTGGTAGAAATCATCATTAAAATCCAGCTCCAAGTCCTATTGTCCAATATCCGGAGTTTCAATTTGCCATTTAATCTGATCAGATTATCAGATGTCATATATTACAGAGTTAGATAAAACATTAACAACACTTCTGACCCACTTATTTTACATCTACCATTTGATGATGTACTATCAAGTGACAGATACACAAATAGTAAATATGAAGAAATTGCTTTCATCAAATTTTAATTAAATTAAAAGAAGGTCAGACTACAGGACTTGTACCTGTGGCATAAACCAACAGAAACAAAGCATAAATTTTATCCAATGAGATTGGAATTTATATCACATGGCCAATTCAGTCGATTGTCATTGAACTTCTACAGGCAAATATCGGAGATATTAAATGACAGTTAATAACTCTGAACATCTGTGTGAGGATAGTATGTTGGTAAGTTTGTTAAAAGTTTCCATTTACTAATTGAGCTTTGTGGTAGTTCAAAGTTGCATATTGTAAATGAAAGAGAATTAGAAAAAAAAGAGAGAGAGAGAGAAGTTCTGAGACGAAGGTATCAATTGCAGAACTTCCAAATAAAGTAATTTAATATTAAAGTTTTTATCAAGTGCCAAGGACTTGCAAAAGAATGAAAAATATAGCAGTATGAAATAAGTATATTGTTGGCCCCTAAAAAAAAAGAAAAAAAAAGGTAATACTGTAACTTTTGACCTAGGTTTGACAGCCTTTATAAAGTCTAAGATACCACAAAATAAACAAAACTAATCCAGACTACTTCTATTTTTGTAATATACTAATAATAGTTTTACCTTGAAAAACCAACATTCAAACCAATATTTACTGTTTAACTTTATCTGTAACAAAGCGAAATCAGGAGAAATGTGAGTTAGCCTAACAATAATCTGTTTTCCTTGAAAATCAACATCCAAACCATGATTTTCACTTGTGATTGAACACTACTATTTCTAATGGGAAAGCCAAGATAAAATTCTTTCTTCCATTGATATTAATCGAAGTGTTTTAAAATAAGCTAGTTGTGCATCTCAATTTCTCCACAAATAAACAGGAAACTTGCAACAACAGATGTGGTTCTCCAAAAAGAATACTGAGAATACCATGGAGAAAAACATGTAAGCAATGAGAAAGTTTTAAGAAAATTGGAAACAAACAGGGCAATTTTACTTAAAATCAGAAAGAGAGAATTGAAATTTCTAGGACACAAAAGAAAGCAGGCTTAAAGAATTTGGCACTCACAAGTCATATTGAAGGTAAGAGAGAGGAAAGCAGTAAGTAAAATACTCAATGAGCTTGTGTAAGTGAATGGAAGTACAGGGAGTGGGAGGGATAGTAAAAAGCTGAACATTGCTAAGAGCTACAAAGGATAGGAAGTTGTGGAGAGCTATGATCGGCCATGTGCTAAAGAAACACAGTACACAGAAAATTTTAAATGATACAATTTTTATAACCCTAAGACGGAGAATATCCAATGGTTGGAGGAAGTTTGGGATGTGCCATTCTGAATGTGGTTGTCAGGATCTGGACTGATTGATTTGTTTGTTAATGGCATATCAACTCCTTATGAGTCATTTGATGTTGATATTTATTTTCTTGATAGCTTGGAAGTAATAAAAATATGATACATGTTATTCTGCTTTCACAGTTGAATACATGGTAGATGATACTGAACTTTTGTTCATATACATGTTTGTATGGAGGCAGTGATATGTTTTATGTTGTGGTTTTGTTGACATTATATTTTGGAATACAGTTTCATTTAAGAAATTGTAGGATGGCTTAATGTCATGAAAGTTCTTTTATATTGGTTGTTTGATAGTATTTTAAAAAGATTTGGGTGAAGTTGCTACAATTTGTTAGTCTGTGCATATTGTTAGTAATTTTACTATAAATATGTAGGTAATGTTTTATATAAAAATGCATTGCTGATATTTTTATACTTTCATAAAGTTTTGGGGCTTGGAAAAAACAATTAAGGGTTGGATGCATGCTCCTCAAAACTCTCAATCTCATAATCAGAGACCTTGCTGCCAAATGTAGTTTATTGTCATGCCCAGAACTAGCCAACTGATTTAACTGAAGCAATCACATAACACTGTGTGTGCATCTCTCTCTCCCATTCAACTATAATACAAAGAGTAGTGCAACATTAGATGGTATTAGTAAAAACAAAGAATCAATGACCAAACCACAGATTATCAATTATTAAGCCAGTAACAAAATTATTTCTAACTGAACTGTCAATATGACCGAGCAACAGCAGCATTCATGTCTCTTTACAATGGCTTTTCTGCCTCCATTATTCTAAATATTCATTCTACTCTTGATAAATAAATTTTAACTTTTTCATTCTGATACTTATACAAAATCATATATATATATATATATATAAAAACAATACATGATTTTGTATAATTTTAAATATGAACAAAAACTGTTTAGAAAAATAGTATGATAAATTGGAAAAAAGTTTTTGTGATGCATTTCATCAGACTGGGCTTTGTTGATACTGAAAAAAAATGTGTGCATATATATATATATATATATATATATCTTTCAAAAATTCTGAAACTACCAGCATCTGTCATTTTGTGCACATTTAGACATCAACAATGGCCAGGATGAAACACGTTACAAAAACTTTTTCCCAATTTCTCATACTATTTCTGTAATATATATATATATATATATATATATATATATATATATATATATATATATATGGGGAAAAATTATATATTAATCACAGTTTTAAGGAAACTATGACCAAGTGGGAATGTTCTTTTTTCATGTTTCAGACTTTAGACTAAAGTGATGTTTACATGATGCAACTACAAATACTAAAATTAAATTCATTTTTTTTTTTAAATATGTTTTACGTAAATAGTCTAGCCAATTTAATTAATACAAAACAAAATAGGTTAAAACTTGAAGGAGGAATTTATTCTATTACCTGTATTAATTGCTACAAGGAATGCACTGGTGAACCACAAAGAATTTAAATAAAAGATTATATGAACACAAAAGGGATCTTATGCAAAACACACTCAACACATTAGTTGCTAATTGTAATTAGTCTGATTATAATTTTGATTTAAAGATGCTACTAAATTAAAAGAGAAAGCAATTTGCTAGGTTGAAAATGTATAGAAAGTGATTTAACTGCTAGATTATCTACATTAAATTTATGTCCAGCATCTTACATTTCACCTTTATTGGCAGGTTTTCTGTTATTTCAATGTGGGATATTTAATAATGAATGTGATAAAAATATAAACAAAAAGAAATTAAATGAAATCGGCTGGGTTCTATACCCAAACACATTTTTTTTTTAAAATTTAACTTAAAATTCTCAGCATTCCCTCGACCTCATGTGCATTTGTAGTCACATCAACATAAACATCAGTTTAGTCCAATGAAGACCTAAAGAATGAAACACATCACATGAAAACTTTTTCAACCGTCAGTTTTTTTTTTATGTATATATTTCTTAATGACTTGCCAGTATACAATGGCTGACCACCACTAATAGTTTCATACATTTGTTGCAGCGGGCCGAGAGGTGTGAGTGCCAATCGACCGTACAACTAAAATAGGGGACACAAAGGCAAGGAGATGGCAATAGCAAAGAAGGATGACAAACGCAGATGACCCGTTGTAGACGATGGAAATCGTATCTTTATTTGCGAACGGTGGATGGTAAGACGACAGAGGTCGTTTGTTCGGGAACGGTGTCCAGACGTTATCGGGCGCTGGATGTCAGTGGGCACTGGATTAGATTGTCAGCGGGTGCTGGAATAGGTAGCGGGACGTCAGTAGATCGCCGCAGGGGTGAGCTGGAGGCTGCTGGAGTGCTGGAAGCTGCAGGTGTGAGCTGGCGTCTCAGAGAGAAGTCAGTAGCAAAGAGTGAAGTGAGTGGAGCCTTGAAGAGTGGTGATCGAATGACTTTCAGAAGTTAGCCCTGAAAAGGACTGTTTGAACATCTGCTGCTACTGCTGCTGGGTCCCGTCAGCTGCTGGGCTTGGTCGACATGACTGGGCGCGTCAAAGTCGCGAATCAGGAAGGCTTCCTGCTCCCTGGCCGGCTGAAAACTGCTGCGAAGTCTCGGACATCTAGATATGACGGTACATACAAGAGAAGCGGTGACGCTAAACAAGTAAATGAATATAATTAATTTCGAGCCGTATTAATTACAGTCAAAAGTGTGTTTGGTGTTTGTTGACTGTATTTAAATTAATTTCGGTTCAAAATTAAAGGTCTTTTATTTTTGTTTAGTGTTTCTGTCAGTTTGAAAGGATGTCGTTGCTATTTTTAGCACACAAGGGTCATGACCTTTCTCTACCGGCAGGCATATCTGGGGTTGTTTAAGAAAAGGTGGGAGTGGTGTTTGGGCACACTGCGACACATTTACATACAATCTTCAGCAATCATGTTTCTCCACACTGTGAGTTTACTCAGTGTATACATATGTGCACATCAGCTACATTCATTATAATGCCTTAAGTAGGTATAAAAATGTTCATTTCACAAAAACCACTTGCCAATTGCTTGATCATTGTGTGCAACTACATGAAACTACTAGTTGTGGTCAGTCATTATATACCAGAAAGTTATTAAGAAAATTATATTACTACTTTGTAATTGAATATGGCATCAAGCTCTCCCCACTCCCCAGAGTGCTTTTATAGCATACTCCCTTAGAAGTTGCTTACTTTGTACATTACTTTTTATATCAAACCATATAATCATCACTGTGTATTTACTTATACATGTCCTGTCCCATCTGTAGTGGAAAAGGAGGTAAATTAACTGCAGTTAGTAAATTTATGAGCGATTACTTCTCTTAATAATCTATAAAAAAAAAAAAATACTTATCTGCATTCAGACAAAATTAGTTCCCAAGCAAAATGAACTATTTAATTAGTCAGTTCCTTTAGTATGTTTCTTAGCTTGCAGTCTTATTTGTTCAAGCATTTCATCTGAGGCACTCAGCTACTTTTGTTTATTAAGTGATCAGATTGCTCTTAAAATAAGTTTTGTTGTCACTGTTCCGTTGCTAATCTTTTTTCTACCGAAAGATATTTACATTTTATGGTTACATTGAACATATAAAATTTTTAACGTAGCAGAAGTAATCAATGAATCACAGATACCATTGCATTTATTTACAAGTAACAATTATCTTCAAATATATCATAGGGTTTTTATTATCACTGCTGCAGAAAATGCATCATTCACCATATATTTTATTTGGATATGAATTACAGTATCCTAGATTCAACACCTTTACCCTCGAAATATCTAATTGAATAACTATTAAGAGATAAATTTAGTATTAATATTGTCGGTGTAATAACAAGTTCTGATATTATTTAAATATTTTTTTAATTTTGCATTGGCATCTAAGATTGAACACAAACTTGCTCTATAAATTAAATTTAAATAAATTCCTATGTTTTATATTGTTTTGTGCATTTAAGACAGTTTTGTCCAGTGTACATCATAAAATGGAAAATTCCCTTGAAGAAAGAGGAGATTTAAAATGAGAGCAAAAACAAAGGCAGCAATTATCCCTATCTCAATATCAGACACCCGAACAACAGGAAGTTGATAGGCAAAGATATTCACAGGCATTTCAGCAACTCTGTGAAGCAATAAGAGCACAAGCCAGGAGACGCAAGGCTTATAGGTGAATTAATGAGACAGAAGAAGAGGGTTATAGGAAGAGACCAAACCTGCGAGAGAGATGAGTGCAAAGAAGACAAAATGAAACCGAGAAAGAAGCTAATGAGAGAAGAGAATGCAGAGTTCATAGAGTAAATAATATTCTGTTCCCTTAAGCCAATTATGAACAAATGCAGTGGATAAAAAATAAGCCATCATTTTTTATGGCACAGGCACACTAGTGTGTGTGTGTGTGTGTGTGTGTGTGTGTGTGTGTGTGTGTGTATGTATATATATATATATATATATATATATATATATATATATATAAAATAAATGTGAATGTCAGTGTCACACTTTTTCAACTTTACCCCGAGAGGCCATAGCCAAACATATCATACCATTTTGGAATTAAGCCGAATCTGCAAGCAAATTAAAAACATTCCAGCCTGGATCCAGACCCACAATCACGAAATTTTGTGTTCCCAATTTTCATTACTGTGATTGTTTTCAGCAATTTTTTTATGTAATTTTTTGCGACAAATTCTTTTGTATGATAATTTTTATTTGGAAATAAATTTGGGAATAATAAAAATTGCAAAATCCAGCAAGAGTCACCTACAAAATAAAATATTTGTATGGAAATTAAGGACCTACATACATCAAATTGTCTTTAAACTAAAATGGTGACAGAAGAATTATCATTGAACTTTTAAATGGTAAGCTAAGATATTAATGCAATACTTAAATGCAGTGATCAATTTTGAGTTCTGTAGTTTATTGTTGACTATCGCATCTACCCCTCCCTACCTATTGCAATGAAGGTCCAATCAAGAGCCCTCCGCAGGTGCTAGCTTAAATGCCACCAAATAGGGCAGCTTTTATGCTTATATATATATATATATATATATATATATATATATATAAAACACACATTTACAATTTTGTTTTTATTCAACCAACAAGGTCTGTCTGTTTAATTTTGATTGTATTTTTTCTAATTTTCAAATGAGTTGCTATTTAATGAAGTCAAAATTGTAGAAAACTGAACAAAGTTAATGTTTTGTTTTTGTTCAAGTACTTTCAACCGTTGTCATTAGTAAGATCTAGTTGTTGCCAGTATGGTTGACAACGTTTTGTTGGCTATATCCTAGCAATTTTTAGAATGCTACATTTCAGTTTTAAATATATGTGTAACATATCACATAACTGATGTCATACGCAGAATGGTTTCACAGAACTTGACACCACTGAAAAATAAATATAGTAAATATTTTTATACACACTTTAAAATGCTTTGAAGTGAAACATTTAATGTGGGTGGTTTCTTTTATATAATAATAGCTTTCAGTATTTTAAGTCTTTCCCTGCAATTAGTTCTTTGAAGTATTTTGGTATTGTCTAATATTTATCTTATATTTGTTTGAAGATAGATGTAGAACTTTCTTTTTTCTGTATAATTGTTTCACTTTGTCTACCTACATATTTTACTCTCATATATATATATATATATATATATATATATATATATATATATATATATATATATATAGAGAGAGAGAGAGAGAGTGAGAGAGTAGGAAAAGGTTATTATGCACTGTTTTTGAAGTGTTACTCCAAAATTCAAGGGATTTGAAAATGAAGAAAATTATTTAGCTTAATGTCTACATTACACTATCTTCTTAGAAGTAATCCCGATGAGCATGTTATAAATCAATCTCACAGAAGATAGCAAAAGAAGAAAAAAAAAAAAAAGGCCTCTACTGTACTGAGTTCAAATTGTCTAAACTTTTAAGTAGCACCTCATATATTGTTTGAAATGAGGTGTTATTCTGGATTTTGGCAGCTAGGGCTGGTGCATACTACCACCAAAACCCGGATGGGGAGGGTGCCTGATTGGGGGGAGGGGATCTGGGCAGTGCCTTGTAACCCTTGCTATCTTAACATTTGCTTTTTTTTTTTTATTTTGTACCTACATTTATATACATTATAAATTAAACTAAGCACAACTGACTATTAATAGATGAAACATTTTTGCAGATTTTGACATCATTCTGGGGTCTTTTTTTTTTTTTTTTTGTCCAAATCAATGAATTTCTTTTGCTCATGCTAACTCTTGATAAAACACTAAACAAAATTAACTATTTTTTTATCCATTAATTGTTCACCTATATTGCATGTAATCCATTATGGAACATAATTAAGTTGCAATTACATTTGTATTTTATAGGAATACTACTTTATGAAAATTGAAATATACTAAAACGGAGGGTCCCATATCATAGATTAGTTGGAGGCCTCAGAAGAATCTTGCACCAGCCATATCTTATTCAAATTATGTAATGGTGAGTATCTACTCAGCACCTGAAGGTTGTGTTGCACAATTGTGAAACTCAGAGTCATATTACCAGTGAGAAAAAAATTATATATATATATATATATATATATATATATATTTATACACGTTTCATCAGATAATATAGACAAGTGTTGTCAATTTATTTTATATAAATTTTTTTCGTAACATCTGATAAGTTTAATAACATTATCATTGAATGAAGAAAGAAATTCACAATATTCATCAATATTTTTTTAATCTAAGCTAAGCTTTCAGCTTACTTAAGCCATTATCATATATATATATATATATATTATATTCACTTTCTGACCAGGAGACCGAGATTAAAATCTCACCATGGTTGATTTGTTAGGAAGTAGACTTCCTAATGTCACCGATCTGGATGGGTGAGAGGATCCCAGTGTGCAGCACCTTTGGAAAGTGCCTGAAAACCATACCATGGGTTGACCCAAGCTTATGAGTTAAGTTGGGTAGACAGAACACTTGGGGTCGTTGATAAGTCACAAGTCATTGTAATCGAGGGTTTGAGCATGCTGGTGTTGTTCAGATTGTTGATCATTCTAGATAACACGCTCTCTCCCAGAAACTGTAACTAAGCTCTGCTCAGCATAGTTGCAATATATATATATATATATATATATATATATATATATGTGTGTGTGTCTGTACACATTTTACTAAATATAAATCCACACATCTAGAGAGATGAAAACATGTTGTTATGTATATATACTTTCAAAGACAGTCCTGTTGGGGAAAACTAGTTTCTGTCTGACAGAGAAGAAAACGTTTAGTGGTGGGGGCACAGAAATGTTACAAAGGAATCCTTAGAACAAAGACTCATTTTTTATGGAATCAAGAACTGCCAACAAAACAAAACAAAAAAAAAAAAAGCAGAAGCTGATAACATGGCTACAAGACAACCTCCATTTCTGAAGCAAATTTGTTAATGACTGGAATATTCTGAGGGATATTTATCTATGATGGACCAGCTAGTACTGACCAATGTTAAGATAAGTAATTTTACACCACTGGTAGTGGTTGTTGGAGTTGAAGTAGTAGTAGTACTAATAATGATGATGCCATTTGAGTCTATATTGGCTATATATTGGGCTAAGTAGAAGTGATTATTTGAGGTAAAATTATAGCCAACAGAGGCATCACCTTCATATATAAATGACTTCACATACAAGACAGCATAAAAAAAATAGCTATGCCTTTCATGTGTCATCTGAAATGTCATCAAATATGTGTGTGTGTGTGTGTGTGTGTGTGAGAAAGGTTTTTTTGTTCTGTTTTTTAACTAAATGTTCACCCAATACAGGGAAAAATAACCAATCAAAGTAGAGGGTTACTAAACAAGGTTCTTGCATAAATGAAAGAACAGGAAGTAAGTGCAGATTACAAGGATATGTTGAATAGATAACAGTTGACCCTAAACTTGAAGACATTACGATTGTAGTGATCAGCAAAGCATACAAAAACCATTATGTGAATAATTATACACACTGAATTTGTGAAAAACTATACAAGGGGTTTTGAAAAGTTCTCAGTCTGAAGCTCTTCCTAATATCTAATCAAATAATCAAACATCAGAATTTATAAAAAAAAATCTCTTCTTCACCATCAGAAATTTTCAACACCTTTTCATATCGATGCTGTCAAAAATAAATAAAAAAAGAAATATTAAATACATAATTTACAAATTCTTTAATCATTATGTAACCAAAAAGTACAGTTAGATGGTACAAAACCTCATTCCTTGCATCCATCAGTCTATTCTTTTAAACTGCAGAAAACCTCTAGAACAAAAACGAAAGAATTTGTTACTCGTTATTTCTGTTAAGAACACTGAACAATTCATTAGCTCAACCTGTTAAGTTTTTTTCTCTGTTCCTGGAATTAAACCTTTTTTCTAGTAAATTTCACTTCTTTTGATATTTTTTAAATTAAAGGCAAAAGAATTTTTTCACAAAATTATACCTCAATATTTCCAATTCTCAGCTGTGATTCCAAAGTCAGAATGTTTATTCCATGTTCTTATTTCAATGAAATATCTTTCTTGATATTTTTATTTCTGAGGAGGGTATTATTGCCAACTTTTGCTAAATTAACGATGAACATGAACCTCAATTTTTTATTCTCTTAAACAATTATTTTATTTTCCAGTTTTTATTTAGCAAAGGAACTACAACCAAGTGATCTTAACCATTGGTTCTGAACTTTAGCCTGATAGGAAAATTGTATTGTGTGGCTTGATTAGCTGTGTTAGAATTTATGAGCCAGTGTCAGAACATCAGCATAATAAAGGGACAAAATTTCATGACAAGCATACTTTCCCTTATCATGAATATTAACATTACTGAAACTTTTGTAAAAATCATCACGGCATACAATGTCCGGCAGAAGTCTTCCCGGCAAATGATGTCCGGCAGAAGTCTTACTGACATATGGTTATTTCATGGTTAACGTTATTTCCTTCTTGGTTGGATTGAAGACTTATGTCTGCAAAAAATACTTCTGTTATTACCTCAAATGAAAACAAACAAGAAATAAAAAATATCTTAAGTCATTATTTAGAATACAAAGAGAATATTTAGTCCCTTAATTTCACAAAGAAAACAACCAAGTTTTATTTTAATGATAAAGCTGAAAAATGAATGGAGATACTCTGATAAGTGTGTGACATTATACTGTGTGTGTGTGTGTGTGTGTGTGTGTGTGTGTATATGTTATAGACAAGCGTATGGTTGCAAGAAAGAAATACGACAACAGCAGAGATAGATTTAC